CCCATCTCCCCTCCCCCACCTACTGAACACCGCCCATCTCCCCTCCCCCACCTACTGAACACCGCCTATCTCCCCTCCCCCATAGGAGAATCCTCGCTGTGAGACCAGGCCTGGGGGAGGGGTGTTTTGGCCTTGGGGCGGGGTTTACAGTTTAGCTCGGCTGTGCAATGTCTCCGCCCAGCGGGTTCTCTAATGCATTAATACTGTGTCCGTGGGGGGCGGAGCCCAGGTAAGCAGTGCCGAAGGGGGGCGGAGCCCAGGTAAGCAGTGCCGAAGGGGGGCGGGGCCCAGGTAAGCAGTGCACTTCGGAGCCCAGGTAAGCAGTGCAGGAAGTGCTTATACATGTGAAAGTCACAGCTTAGGTTCTGTGTTGGCCCCTCCCCCTGTCATGGCTTCTGGTGGGCACAGGCTCCTCCCACTGCTCTCAAAGCTCACCTGTCATAAGTGTGGTACATGGGCGGCCATTGCTGCGTTTCCCCCTGAAGATGCCAGAGTCCTGGCTGTGTCCGGCCTCCCGAGACCTGGTGTAAGGTTTGCGGGAGAAGGGTTTCCTGCCCCCCCGGTATGCTTGGGAAGGGTTGGTGTCACCATGACGACCATAGTCGGGATATTATTGCCAATGGCCACCCCGTCCTATCACAGCTGTGCTGATCTTGTGGGCGGAGCTTAGATAACATCTTGTGGTGTGGACACATGGGGTTACTTGCGTCCTTTGCTGCTCCCTATTTCCACCTTTGCCGACTGCTGAGATAAAACCAGTCGTCCCTTGCGGATGTTTCCTGTTCTGGACTCTAACACATTCACACTGAGAGGATCTGTACGGATTGGTCACTGAGCAGCAGGAGGCGGAGCCTGCATGTGTACTGAGTAGACATGGCTGCCCATAAAAGGAGTTTATACACAGACGTGAGGGGCATTGTGGGGGTTTCACATCAGCAGGGAATGCCGAGTGTCTTGTAATGAGATGCTCGGAGGGGGTCGTGCCGCCGTGTACATACGGAGATACCGCACTTTCCATCGCCCCGTCACGTGTGTCTGACATGTTTCCTGCGGATTCCTCTGAATTAAGTGTGATGTGTTTTTGGCGTGTTCATGGCGCTGGAGTTGTAAATCAGCCGTGTAGAACATTTGTGGCCCCTTTGAGGTCCGGTCTGTGTTTGAGGGGCCCCTCTCTGTGACATATGTCGTCCACACAAATGGCACAAACATTGACCTGTCAGGGCCTAGGGGGAGGAGCCTGCAGTGGAGGGGTTTCCTGACCTCTACTGGAGGGGTGGTTGTTTGGAGGGGGAGGGGATGTTTGTCCTGCGGGATTTCCCTCCCCATGTGTGTGGCTGCACTACATGTCCCGGCATGCCCTGCTCCATGTGTGTGCTCCAGACGTGTCATCTATAGGTGTGTGTGTGTGCAGGGTACACGCTCCGTGTGTGTGTGCAGGGTACACGCTCCGTGTCGTGTGTGTGTGCAGGGTACACGCTCCGTGTCGTGTGTGTGTGCAGGGTACACGCTCCGTGTCGTGTGTGTGTGCAGGGTACACGCTCCGTGTCGTGTGTGTGTGCAGGGTACACGCTCCGTGTCGTGTGTGTGTGCAGGGTACACGCTCCGTGTCGTGTGTGTGTGCAGGGTACACGCTCCGTGTCGTGTGTGTGTGCAGGGTACACGCTCCGTGTCGTGTGTGTGTGCAGGGTACACGCTCCGTGTCGTGTGTGTGTGCAGGGTACACGCTCCGTGTCGTGTGTGTGTGCAGGGTACACGCTCCGTGTCGTGTGTGTGTGCAGGGTACACGCTCCGTGTCGTGTGTGTGTGCAGGGTACACGCTCCGTGTCGTGTGTGTGTGCAGGGTACACGCTCCGTGTCGTGTGTGTGTGCAGGGTACACGCTCCGTGTCGTGTGTGTGTGCAGGGTACACGCTCCGTGTCGTGTGTGTGTGCAGGGTACACGCTCCGTGTCGTGTGTGTGTGCAGGGTACACGCTCCGTGTCGTGTGTGTGTGCAGGGTACACGCTCCGTGTCGTGTGTGTGTGCAGGGTACACGCTCCGTGTCGTGTGTGTGTGCAGGGTACACGCTCCGTGTCGTGTGTGTGTGCAGGGTACACGCTCCGTGTCGTGTGTGTGTGCAGGGTACACGCTCCGTGTCGTGTGTGTGTGCAGGGTACACGCTCCGTGTCGTGTGTGTGTGCAGGGTACACGCTCCGTGTCGTGTGTGTGTGCAGGGTACACGCTCCGTGTCGTGTGTGTGTGCAGGGTACACGCTCCGTGTCGTGTGTGTGTGCAGGGTACACGCTCCGTGTCGTGTGTGTGTGCAGGGTACACGCTCCGTGTCGTGTGTGTGTGCAGGGTACACGCTCCGTGTCGTGTGTGTGTGCAGGGTACACGCTCCGTGTCGTGTGTGTGTGCAGGGTACACGCTCCGTGTCGTGTGTGTGTGCAGGGTACACGCTCCGTGTCGTGTGTGTGTGCAGGGTACACGCTCCGTGTCGTGTGTGTGTGCAGGGTACACGCTCCGTGTCGTGTGTGTGTGCAGGGTACACGCTCCGTGTCGTGTGTGTGTGCAGGGTACACGCTCCGTGTCGTGTGTGTGTGCAGGGTACACGCTCCGTGTCGTGTGTGTGTGCAGGGTACACGCTCCGTGTCGTGTGTGTGTGCAGGGTACACGCTCCGTGTCGTGTGTGTGTGCAGGGTACACGCTCCGTGTCGTGTGTGTGTGCAGGGTACACGCTCCGTGTCGTGTGTGTGTGCAGGGTACACGCTCCGTGTCGTGTGTGTGTGCAGGGTACACGCTCCGTGTCGTGTGTGTGTGCAGGGTACACGCTCCGTGTCGTGTGTGTGTGCAGGGTACACGCTCCGTGTCGTGTGTGTGTGCAGGGTACACGCTCCGTGTCGTGTGTGTGTGCAGGGTACACGCTCCGTGTCGTGTGTGTGTGCAGGGTACACGCTCCGTGTCGTGTGTGTGTGCAGGGTACACGCTCCGTGTCGTGTGTGTGTGCAGGGTACACGCTCCGTGTCGTGTGTGTGTGCAGGGTACACGCTCCGTGTCGTGTGTGTGTGCAGGGTACACGCTCCGTGTGCCGTGTGTGTGTGCAGGGTACACGCTCCGTGTCCGGTTCCGTGTATTTATAGGCCGGGTGACGGATGCCGTGTGTTGGTTGTCGAGTATTTTTAACCCCGTGATTTCAGCTCAGTCACGCTGCAACTTCCATTCTTGTACATATGATGTCCTGCAGAGCTCTAGATGGACATATGTGAGGGCCCCCCCCCTCCCCCGGCCAGGCATGTGAGATTTGTAGTTCTGCCACATCTGAAGGGTTCGGGTTCCCTTCCCCCTGTTTCTGTCCCAAGCGTCTGATTCCCTAACTGCGGGGTCCCCCCCTTCCTCCTCAGGGTTCCCTGGCTGCGGGGTCCCCCCCTTCCTCCTCAGGGTTCCCTAACTGCGGGGTCCCCCCCTTTCCTCCTCAGGGTTCCCTGGCTGCGGGGCCCCCACTTCCTCCTCAGGGTTCTCTGGCTGCGGGGTCCCCCCCTTCCTCCTCAGGGTTCCCTAACTGCGGGGTCCCCCCCTTCCTCCTCAGGGTTCCCTAACTGCGGGGTCCCCCCCTTCCTCCTCAGGGTTCCCTAACTGCGGGGTCCCCCCCTTCCTCCTCAGGGTTCCCTAACTGCGGGGTCCCCCCCTTCCTCCTCAGGGTTCCCTAACTGCGGGGTCCCCCCCTTCCTCCTCAGGGTTCCCTAACTGCGGGGTCCCCCCCTTCCTCCTCAGGGTTCCCTAACTGCGGGGTCCCCCCCTTCCTCCTCAGGGTTCCCTAACTGCGGGGTCCCCCCCTTCCTCCTCAGGGTTCCCTAACTGCGGGGTCCCCCCCTTCCTCCTCAGGGTTCCCTAACTGCGGGGTCCCCCCCTTCCTCCTCAGGGTTCCCTAACTGCGGGGTCCCCCCCTTCCTCCTCAGGGTTCCCTAACTGCGGGGTCCCCCCCTTCCTCCTCAGGGTTCCCTAACTGCGGGGTCCCCCCCTTCCTCCTCAGGGTTCCCTAACTGCGGGGTCCCCCCCTTCCTCCTCAGGGTTCCCTAACTGCGGGGTCCCCCCCTTCCTCCTCAGGGTTCCCTGGCTGCGGGGTCCCCCCTTCCTCTGGGTTCTCTGGCTGCGGGGTCCCCCCACCTCCTCCTCAGGGTTCTCTGGCTGCGGGGTCCCCCCCTTCCTCCTCAGGGTTCTCTGGCTGCGGGGTCCCCCCCTTCCTCCTCAGGGTTCTCTGGCTGCGGGGGCCCCCCTTCCTCCTCAGGGTTCTCTGGCTGCGGGGGCCCCCCTTCCTCCTCAGGGTTCTCTGGCTGCGGGGTCCCCCCTTCCTCCTCAGGGTTCCCTGGCTGCGGGGTCCCCCCTTCCTCTGGGTTCTCTGGCTGTGGTGTCCCCCCTTCCTCTGGGTTCTCTGGCTGTGGTGTCCCCCCTTCCTCTGGGTTCTCTGGCTGTGGTGTCCCCCCTTCCTCTGGGTTCTCTGGCTGCGGGGTCCCCCTCTCGCTGTTCCCAGGCTATGAAGATGTATTGTGGGTTGGAGTGCCCCCATAATATTGAGGGGTGTGTCATGTGACGTCAGGCGTCTCCTCGGTCCCCGCCCCGTGCTGATCCTGCAAATGTTTAAAGGTCGTTTACAGCCAAGATTGTGTTACAGTGTGGGGGAGGGGCGGCGGGTGTAAACTATTCACCGGCGGGGAACCTCGGTGGTCTCTGCACCTCTCTGGATGTAGAAGCTTCAGGATGTGGG